TTTAAGCAGTGTCAAATTCTTTCAATTTTTTTAATATGTTCTAACATTGTGCCTTAACCTTGAAGTTTAGTTGGTCATGATATTGTCCCACTTGGTTCTCATTTCCCTGGTCCATACCAATGATAGTGAGGTTTTCTTGGGAAGTTTATGAGTTTATAGCAGCAGCAAGACCTCACATTCAACACTAAATACAGTATTTATATTGCCTCACTGACCATATTCATTTAGGGCCCATTTATATGAGGACGCATTGGAAGTGCCTTTCGTTTAGATGGTGACGGTGTTTCGGGGGGGTTAGAATATGTAAAAATTTGAATTGAAACGACCCTCCAGGGTGGAAAAGTTGAATACACTTGGCCATTACATTCCAACATACATGGCCTAAAATTCAAAATTCCACTCAAATCTGCTCACGTATGCGTTTACATATACAGTATACATGTGCCATTCAACAGGTAAGTCAACAACATGTCTGTCTATATCCATCCGCCGGCCCTTCAAACTTCTCTGGCTGCTTTAATAACCCAACAGGAGTCCTTCCAAAGATTTTACAGACTCTGTTCATCTACGATTGATTGATTTATTTCCTAGTAGCCATCATTTTGGTCTGCGTGGCACAGATCATTGAAGTAGATTGCTGATCAGAGACACACCCTCTTGCGTCACCGTATGCATACGTATTTTCTCTGATAAATGGTTGTCTAAACGCGAAAGAAAAAGTGAAGATGAGATGCCACTTTTGCGTTGTGAATGAGGACCCAAATGCAGGATAGCAGGGAGGTGAGGCGGGTGTTATAGAGAACAGAAAGACAAGGTATGTTGATTGATCAAAAACAATTAATTTCCTATAATCCAAAACAGCAAGGTTCAACATAACAAAACAAACATGAAAATGAATTAACTGGACAAGTAGCCACCAACATGCAGAAAAGATATGACTAGGACATGGACACTGAACCGCCAAGGGCTGCAAGGAAGCAGGTACCTAAATACAAACTAATTGACGCGACACCAAAGAACACGTGGCCAAGACACAAGTGGCTGAGGTAGACAGCCACTTGCGAGACAAGGGACACAAGGGACTCGGGCTGGCAAAAAAAGTTATAACAAACAACCTAATGAGACAAAATTACAAACAACAACAAAAAAAAGAACCCAAGGAGAACATGATGAAACTAAAATACAATCAAAATTAAACCAACAAATGCAAGCTCATGACATCGGGCACTAATTGGCAAGATAACATATCTTTCTCCAGGTTCTACCCTTCACCTCTATCAGGAATTGCAATACTGCATTGTATTATACAAACGTCAGCACACACAAACGCACATCGGTATATATTGTGTCAAAATCAATATGTGTGCTGTTATTTTAGTCTCCATTGCTCAGTATCAATTATCTCATTGCAATTAGAAACATTAGGGTGCCTTTCGTAAAGGTTAGAGACAATGACTCAGGGACGTACCAGAGTGCAATTGTGTGTGCGAGAAACAAAATGTGTGAGGAGGTTGACATTGCAGATGGGATTGGCCTTCTTAATTAAACCTTTATGTCAAAATAAACAATAAATACATAAAACCTAGGATAGACGTTTTAATTGTTGAACCATCACCATCAACATCTTTCAGCGATTTATAGATTATGTAAACAAAAATACTGGAACTGCACACATCTTGTAACAGACATTACATGAACTGGAATTATTTAAACAAAACCCCCTCTGATTGAGACATGGGAGGAATAAATACTGAATTCAATGCATGCCAAAATGCATTCGGATCACAATGGTGCCTCATATTGCCTCATGCAGTGTATTCATCCAGAGCAGGGGTGTCAAACTCATTTCATGTTGTGATCCACATACGACCTCGGTCGATGTCAAGTGGGCCGGACCATTAAAATTATACCATACTTTGCTATAAATAACCAAAATATCATGTATTTCCTTTGTTTTGGTAGAAAGAAGCACAAGAACATTCAGAAAATGTTCAAATTTAATGAACATGTCTTTTACAAAACATTTGACAAAATGACTTGACTCTCTGTTTCAATTGGCTGTCTAAATCTGCTGATAGGTCCGAAATCCTCTCTGGTATAGTATTCCTCATCAGGCTAATATTGGCAAAAGCTTGTCGCTTCTCGGGACAGACAAGTTCAGCCGCCTTCATCATGCATCGTTTAACAAAGTCACCGTCGGAATACGGCTTTGATGCTAATGTTACTTCGCTAGCAATTAGGTAGCTGGCTTTCACTGCTGTATTGGTTCTGTCTCAGTGACAGACTGAGACAGCTGTTGTCTTCTTCATTGATCAAAACAATGTTGTCTTCTACTCTGATCAAAACAGTGTTCCCCTAGCGGATGATCCATGAATTGCAGCTGATTAAAAATATTCATTCCGTGTCTTTTGTATTTTTTCACTTTTAATTTATCCTGCGGGCCTGATCGAACCCCCTCGGGGGCCGGTTTCGGACTGCGGGCCGTATGTTTGACACCCATGATCAAGAGGGAGACATGGCTCGCTTTGCCAAGTAAAACTGAAACACTACCACATTCCAAATTAAGAGACTATTTCATGTTCTGGTGTTTTTTTTTTTTTCATAACTTCATTTTGGGGTGTTAAAATCAGTCCATTTTTGTAATTCAGCATTGTGTGTTAGTAGACATTACAAGTCCAATTAACCTTCATCCTTTGCTCCCTTGGTCACGGAACTGATGCTTTTCTTTGTGTGATCTAGAATTTAGCGGCTTAAGAGGCACGGACTAATTTAATTGGAGTGATGGACTTTTGGCTGGGGCGTCACAGTAGTTTTTGGCATTCATGAGATGAATAATGCTGGCATTGGCATATTCAGCATTCAAAGGGAAGAACATCAGTCACTCAATAACCAAGGCGCCCCACCAAATACCAAAAATAAATAAATATGATGATTGACAAATATGAGATTTGGTTTTATAATTTTACAGCAATGATACAGTATGTAGTAGGTGCACCTTTTTAACTGCTTCAAAATAATTTGGATGGTAGAGCCACGGTCTAATATGGACGATGGTGTTGTTATTTCTGTCTTCTTTCAGCCAGGACACCTTTCATTTGATTGTTGTTATCAGTAAGGATGTCCCGATCACATTTGTTTTGTTTGCAACCGAGTCTGAGTGCAAATCAATTCATTTTGGGTGTCACAATCTTATACATTGTCAAAGCATCAAGAAAAAAAAAAAAACAGAGTATCCAAATTGTCTTCATTGTTGTCCTTTTCTTTCAATAAATAAAAATATCCAAACAGGATACCTTTTTAAGGTTGCTTGGCACCCTTTTCTTTCATGACCCATCACCTCAAAGTGTGAATTTAAAGGCTTTTTGTTGCTATTTTTTTTTAGCAACTTTTAGAATTTGAGGCTTTGTATTATTAATATAACCACAATATTAATTTAATCATTAGACAGCTATACACTTTTTATAACTAAACCAGTGCAGCAAGTTAACAAAGTTATAGCCACGAGATTTCGTAAACAGTAGTGCATCCTTGTTAAACGTTTGAATGTTAAACACGAATGTATGCTAATTCGACAATCTCTTATACGCATTGATATGAAGGATAATAGATAATATGTATGTAGGCCTGTATAAATATGTACAGACTGTGTGTGTGTGTGTGTGTGTGTGTGTGTGTGTGTGTGTGTTTCATCAGGTAAATTATATTTATAATTTCATATAAGTAGGCTGTATAAATACATACAGACTGTGTGTGTGTGTGTGTGTGTGTGTGTGTGTGTGTGTGTGTGTGTCATAAGGTACATTATATTTATAATTTCATATAACCTGTGGCTAAAAAGCAAGGGTGGTAGTCTGTTGCCAAACTACAATAAGGTATATACATGTTTGCAGAATGCAGCACTCCAATGGCTTTTTTTTTTTTTTTGCCTTTGTCTTTTTCACTCCATCACACAAACAGGAAACATTAGATGGTGCTGTTCCATTTTGCAGCATTGTTGTCTCACATGATTATCTCAATACGTATTGACATCTAAAAATGAGTTTGAATTTTCCTATACCATGAGGCAAATAATAGAATCTGGCTCTTCTGCTTCATGCAATAAAATGTCTGAAAAGGGCATTAACAACAAATACTTCACTTCCTCCAGCTGATAATCAAAGATGAGAAGCGAGGGAGACAAAATAGAAAAGCCACATTTATCGGTCACATTGAAAATGTATCAGCAACAGATAAAGAGTGTTTTAGCTGCACGAGTCGATGAGCATGCGGCAGCTATAAGCCCATGGCGAGTGGTGAATGCTTTGGGAGTGTACCCTTCTGTCTGCTACGCTGCTGCATGTGAGGAGATGATTGAATCAAATTCAATAGAAAGCAAATAAAAAGTCACTTAGGAGAACATTTGTTCTCCTTATGGTAAGCAGGCATATTTCACAGAACAATGTGTTCTCATGCATAAAAAAACGCTCTGTACATTTCTTCAGTATGGAGCAGTCCAAAACCGAGATCGCTCATAATTATGGCTTTTCAAGTAGCAGATTTATAAAACAGTGACCCTGAAGCACCTCACAACCAGATAACACGGGACATGGTTAGAACACATGCTGGCACGTTAATGTTAATCGCAGTGTTCTGCTACCTTTTAATACAGTGCGCCATATGGTCCTGAGAATACGATAGTGATTTGTGAAAGAGCATGCTTTTGTCGGCAAATGACATAGTGTATATGTTGACTGTGCTGTTTTCTATTTCAGGTAATGACTGTAACCTGATGAAAGAACAATGCAGCTTTAAAGACTGTAACGCTGCCAAAAATGTCCCTCGGCCCTTGCAGTAGACTACGGTGATCCAGGCTGATTAATTTCTCCATTTAGCTTCATTCAGCTTGGCAATGTGTACAACATTAGATGTAAGTTTGCACTCATTTTTGTGTGATTGGGCACACAATTATATACAGCATCCTGCATATTGATGCATGGTGCATATTAAGAACAAGGACTCACCTTCCGCTCTTTGTCTCCATACTCAAGGCCTAGTGTATCCATGGCACGGACAATGGCAGCCAGAGATTGGATGGTGTTGCTGTAAACAACAGGCTTGTACTGCTTTACATCATCACCAGAGAAACCGTCCTCGTGGATGATCCTAAACACAGACAAGCCAACAAATTAGTCAGTGGAAACATACTGTAAATCTAATGCACCACATTTGATAGGATGAAAACAAGTGTATGCAGTATTAGTACGATATTAAAAGTACAGATTTAGTCATCGATGTTATGTGCTCGGGTCACATAAAGGGTTAGGATCATGAATATAATACACCACAAATTAAAATAAGTCAGAGCAACATGAGTGGCTAAAAACAATGAAAGAACAATGAGTAGGAAGATGACATTTAACAGCAGCAGCAGCAGCAGCAGCAGCCTTGTCTGTGTTTTTAAATGTCATGCAGTCTTTCCCTTCCAGGAAGACAAGGACATACAGTCAAAACAATGTTTTCCAGGCAGACAGTTGCAAGGAGCGATAGAGGATGAAAAAAAAAGTATGCTTTGTGTAATTTGTGACATAACCATTTGCTTTTGCAATATAGATCCAATGTTTGTGATCTTTGTCGCAGATGGTGTAGTGGTACACGCGCATGACTTGTGTGCGGGCAGCATGGAATCGGTTCCCACTCAGTGACGGTGTCAATGTGGGTGTGTATGGTTGCTCGTTTCTATAAGTGGCCATCGTTACTATAAGTAGCCTAACTGGCGACCAGTTCAGGGGTTATTCCGCCTTTCCCCTGAAGTCCCAGCAAATCCCGCAGGATAAGCGGTGTTGAAAATGGATGGCTGGATATTTGTGTTCTTGAGTTTCAGTGCAACGTTTACAGTGTCAGACAGCAGTTATCTTCCTGAGAGAGAGCGAATTCACACATTTATACACAAATGTACAATATTTAATACTGGTTTTTAAAAAAGATGTGATATATCATGCATTATACAATTGGCAACACAATGAAACATTAAACAACCTTTTATCAAAAGTATTTTTCTCAACAGGGTCATGTGAATCTGGAACAAGAGTTTGCATTGAATTGAGCAACCACACAACCACTGTAAAGCAGTCTGATTTATTCAAGCTATTCTATAGTGTCAATGGATATTACAAAATAGAATGAAATATAACATATTCTGTAGATATTTAAAGACAATCCTCTAGTAACATCACAAATAAAACAAGGTTTTAATTTGATCATAACATTACTTAGACTCCAGCAGAATGAAAAACACAAAGACCAATTCAAGGAAGCAAAGGCTTAAATGTTGTGTGTGCGTATCCAAGTGTGTGTGCCTGAGAATCTGGCCTGCTGATGTGAGTTCTCATGCATGAGGACCTTTTCTCATTAGCCACTCTCCAAGCCCTTCTGTCAGCAAAGAGCTGCATGTGTGAGCGTCCATATGTGTGTGTGTGTGTGTGTGTGTGTGTGTGTGTGTGTGTGTGTGTGTGTGTGTGTGCGCGTGCGTGTGCGTGCGTGTGTGTGTGTGTGTACATCTTCACTTTGCCTTGACATAATCTGGACAGTGACCCGAAACATAGTTTAATTTCACGCGAGCCAGACAGATGGACAGACACGCAGACATATGGGCAATTTAACCAAGACATGACACCATGTTCGTCTCAGGGTGTCTCTCAAACTTACATCAGTAATCCTGTGGGCTGTGGCGCATCGTGACTTCTTGTTTGGTCTCAATTATACGCTGTTTACATATTTTGCTTAGTAGGCTTTAATATCCATCCATCCATCCATTCATTTTCCGAACCGCTTTATCCTCACTCGGGTCGCGGGGGTGCTGGAGCCTATCCCAGCTGTCTTCAGGCAGTAGGCGGGGAACACCCTGAACTGGTTGCCAGCCAATCGCAGGGCACACATAGACGAACAACCATCACCGCTCACACTCACACCTAGGGACAATTTGGAGTGTTCAATCAGCCTGCCATGCGTGTTTTTGGAATGTGGGAGGAAACCAGAGTACCCAGAGAAAACCAAGCAGGGATGGGGAGAATATGCAAACTCCTCACCAGGCCACCGCGGACCTGGGATCGAACCCACAACCTCTGCACTGAGAGATTGACGCGCTAACCACTCGACCACTGGGCCGCCGCTGACTTAATATAGTCAATATATTTCATATTTCTCCGAAAACAGAAAGGAGCACAAGTCATGTCACACCATCAACAATATGTTTTGCTGTGCAATTCAACATCAGTGTAAAATATATATGTGTATCCATCCGTTATCTGAGCTGCTTAACCTCACGAGGTTCACGGACATGCTGGCGCCTATCCCAACTGCGTTCCTGCAGTAGGTGAGGTACATCCTGAACTGGCTATAGCCACTCGCAGGGCACACATAGACAAACAACCATTCTCACTCACATTCACAGCTAGGGACAATTTAGAGTGCTCAATTAACCTGCCTTAGATGTTTTTGGAATGTGGGAGGTAACCACAGTACTCGGAGAAAATCCACGCAGGCACGGGGGAGAACATGCAACCTGCATATAGTAAGGCTGGGACCCGGAATCGAACACTGTGATGACGATGTACGAACCAGTTGAACACCGCGTGCCGCCCACACACATATATCCATCCATCCATCCATTTTTAATCTGCTTATCCTCACAAGGGTTGTGTGGGTGTGTGTGTGTATGTATATAAATAAAACACTAGACTACAATGTGTGTTTCTTCCTTGAAAATCTCTGTTTTCTTGTAGTTAATCTTTAACCCATTTAATACTTGCTCTTATTTTGATTACCAGTAGGTACGAAAAGAAATAATTATCAATATCAAGTGACATCAAGGATCAACTCATATGTTGCTACATAACAAGGGGTAGGACTAGTTAAGTTTCTTACTTCTTCCTACTCCTTTGAACATAGAATTGTGATGACGACTGTTTTTTTCTTTTCCTTTTTACAATTTTTGCTTGCCTTCACTTTTGTCAATTTGTTGTTGTATTGTGTTTTATATGTTCAATAAATAAATAAACACACAAACATGAAACACTTTATTGCAATATACTTTTCATTCACATCACCCAGCACTAATTCCCCGCACTTCTGTTTATCTCACTCCGGACAGAATCATACGATGACACCGCCCCCCCCTTTAAGATAAGATAAGATAACCGTTATTTGTCCCACACTGGGGAAATTTGATACATTGTGCATTATTAAGTTATAGTGTGAAGAATTTAGCGCCATCTAGTGGTGAACTAATAGAGCTCGAAGCGCGTGCATTTTGAAATAAAGTGTTCAGTGTTTCTAATATTTTAGCTTCAAATGACAAAATACTGTGATGCAAAACGAAGAAGGACAAAAATAAATGTCAAATTCATAATAATTTCCATTTTCTTTTCTTTTTGCTGATTTAGTCACAACTTACGGTCTATGATTTTCTGTACATATATAAAAAATGCTAAATGCTCTATCAAAAACAAGTCCAATTCTCTGCACTCTATTGCATTTCGATCGCATCGTTTCAATCCTGATACAGTCCGGTTCCGCCCTGAGGGTCACTTTTCCATGACACTTTTTTAAGGTACTGACAACAAAGGAAGGCAGGCCAGGCCAAGCAAAGTTGGGGCAAAGCAGAGGCAGGCCATTCTGGAACCTGCAATGGAAAAGTGTGCCATGTTTCTTATTATCCCATCGATTCTTTCCTCACAGGTACTCATGTGAAGACGCCTCAGCCGATACACACGTAAAGCCTGCACAGTGCGCTGCACAATTACGGCCCTATCTTGGTTCTGCTTTGCATTGTCACTTGACACCATTGTTTGTCCTAATATAACCACACAACTCTTTGAGGTTGCCTCTTTATCACTATGTTGCACAGCTAATCCATTTGCAGTCTTTGTCGACAGAGCCCTTTGTGACAAAGTGCAAACTGACCAACTCCTGTCAACGTTTCTGTATATCGTTACGAACACATTTCATGTGTTTCTGTATGTAAACGGGGGAGAATTAATCTTAATGGGCATAAGATAGATCATGGCAGAACCAAATTCTGACAAAAGAAGCTATAAATAAGTGTGTCATTAATTTGGCCCTCAGCCCTGATAAACTAACTCCAATACATTACTTGAAAAGCATGCCTCAGTCACTTTGTAATCTGGCGTTACTCAATGGCATCACACATTTGGGTCAAGCAGCAACATCCTGACGGAACATACTGTCCTTTCACAAACACCTCTCTGCTCTGAGTGCAGGATCTATTTATTCTTTTAAACACCCATAAAACTATTTTTAGTGACATATTTCTCAGGGATGTTGATTGAGGGTGGATAGAGAATGTTATTGGTTCAGGCTGTAACATTTTCCATCTGTTCAGCAAAATGGCCAGGAAGGTTTGAAAAAAAAAAAACTCAGTGAAACAATTTGGAGATGGGTATACACTGTTGGAAATTCTTGTGCATGCCAATTGTATTCATCTGAAGCAGCTTCCTACCTTGAAGATTTGCACATATTGCGTACATCGATCGACAGCGCTCAACGGATATTTGTGCAGAAGTGCAACAGTATACAGTCCATCATGTGGCACAAGAAGGCATGATCAGTTTTGACTTGACTGATTTATATTGATGGCCTTGTGCTAGAGCAGCAGATGGACACCTTGCGGCTTAGGGGCTGCCCACACTCGGAGTGGACCTCGATTAATTTTTGAAACTAAAAATGTTTACTGCTGCTGATCTATTGGATTCAGCGTTCTTCACAATGCAATAACGTTCACTGGATGGCAGACATCACTCACCAGTGCCTCCAAATATAGGCTGTAGTAGTGGAAGAGAGCAGATCCTGGCTTCTTGCCAGCAACCGCATTTGGTCAAGAAAAGGGTGTCCTTGAGGTAAAATAGGAAGCAGATTATATGATCACCAAATTGAAATGCAAACCTGTCTGTTTAGTTTGCTTAGAGATGCCATTAGATGTCATGAAAGATTTCAACTGAAGTCGCCTCTACAACACTAATCTCAAAAGTACACAAACAGAAGCTTTTTCCACAAAGGGTTGACAGATTGAAATGCATGAGGGGTTATTAAATTTGTGTCCTCCAAAAACATATTCAATGTTTAAATGTGTTACAAAAACGTATGAT